TCCAGTAAATGCTACCATGGTACTAAAATACCTAACACTTAGTAGGTCTTAATATGAGGTAAATGCAACCTCAGATGAACAACACATAACACTTTATACCAGGTCATTATTTATTTAACACACACTGAGCTGAAATTCAGATGTTTCAAAAGCTAAGTACATCCAAGACTATTTCCATAATTATTTAAGAGGGTCAGTATCAGCCAAGTGCTAATCAAGTGCACTAGATCATCAGTAAGTGTAACCACTACTGTCGGTTTGCTGGTGTGGTGTATTCAGGTAAGTGGTAACATACTGAGGAGGAGAGAAGCAGTTGTTGATACCCATGAATGTGGGAAGGCTTTGAAGTCGATCATTTTGCAGCAAGAAAATTTATTCGCAAGTTAAAAAAATCAACGACTGTTTCCAATCTTACCAGGAGTGGACGTCCCAGAAAATTCACCCCAGACATCTGAGGCTCTACAGGCCACAGTTAGCATGCTAAATGTTGGAGTTCATGGCAGTGCAATTAGAAACAGACTCAACAAATATGGCCTGTTTGGAAAGACTTCCAGGAGAAACCATTTTCCCTCTAAATACAACATGGCAGCATGGATTAGGTTTGCAAAGTTGAAAAGCTAAGCCCTAATGCACAGCTTCAACATTGGTGAAAACCAAACACGGCATATCAGCAAAAACACCTCATACCAACGGTTTTGCTCGGGTGATGATTATTTGGGCTTTTTTTGCTGCCAAAGAAGCTGCAAAGTGTCCAGGTCACTGAGTGAGCCATGAAGTGACTCCAGAGTGCAGCAGCAAAGCAACAACAGAGTGGTGCTGCAGTGGCTCAAAGTTGAGACTTCAACATAATTGAACGTTAAGAAAGCTGTGAATGAATAAATATCTGCAAACTTCAATGAACCGAAGAAACATTGTAAAGACAAACGGGCCAGAAATCCGTCCACACTGCTGTGAAACACTAATAAAAAATGATTACCTCAAGTTTTTGCTGCTAAAGTTGGTTCTATCAGCTGCTGAATCACAGGATGTACTTGGTTATAGTCATTTGTGCATTTTGGGTTGCTTTAAATAAATAATGATGTGTTGTAATCATCCAGATCTAGAAGCTTAAACTGCTTTTTCACGTGTCTGTAAATGAATTTCTTTCTTATCATTGTCCCGATTGGTGTGGGCTGACACTTGACACTCTGTGGCTCCTGATTTGTCTGTTGTCAAGGTCTCACCTCAGTGCGATTCCTCACGTTTTGTCATGATTAAAGGATGAATGTGAACACCGCTTCAGTCACTGTGTTCACTTCCTGATATGTCAGAACTGCGCTCACATCACTCACTTTTTTAACAACATGACACACTGCTGTAAACAGAGACCCTGTAATGTTAGCACCAAGTAGGACTTCATAAAAAATAATGCTGTCAAGCTAACTTTTGCTCTTTCTGTCTTTTTCAGGACTTTGAGGCAGTGTGGGACAGCTCCCTGCACAACTCCCTCCTGCTCAACCGCATCACTCCCTATGGAGAGAAGATCTACATGACCTTATCTGCGTATCTGGAGGTCAGCCGCTGCTCCGCTGCTCCGCCGTGTTGTACCTGTTTGTACGTGTTTTTAAGTCTCTTGATGTCATCGTGTCTAACACACACCCTTTATCTCCTCTCTGCAGCTGGACCATTGCATCCAGCCTGCCATTATCACCAAAGACCTCTGCACGGTCTTTTACTCCCGAGACGCCAAGATTTCCCCACCCCGTTCTCTCAAGAACCTCTTTGGGACTGGATACTCCAAAACTCCTGACTGGTAAATCTGGGCTGCTGTACTGTGGCCATCTCTGTTTCACAATCAAAGATATCTGCCCTGTTACAAAGTTTCCTTCTTCATAACTTCTGCTTCATTATAGCAACCGAGTGACTGGGATCTACGAGCTGAGCTTGTGTAAGACGTCTGACACTGGAAGCCCAGGTGAGCAGACATGAAACATGAGGGCTCATGTCCTGAGCAGGGATGCAGAGGAGGACGGTCCTGGACACATCATGTTATTTGTCTCCTGAAATGAGTTTCATTCTATTTTTTATTATTTTTTGTTGTTGTTGGTTTTTTATTAAATTAAGATGCTTACATGATACCTGCAGCAGTCCTCAGGAGAAGACCAGGTTTGCTCAGTTTAAAACAAAAAACAAAAATGAACCAAATCAGCCAGCTTACATTTGAAACCATGAAGGAAAAGTCTACAGTTCTCTCCAAGTGACGTGTTAGTTTACGCTCTGCTGCCTAAACCATAGCTGCTAATAGATTTATAGGGTATTTTTCTTCTGGCAGTGAATTTACATCAGGCTGAACCGTCTCTGAAACAAAAACTCAAAGTGGGAATGAACTTTGACAGGAGGGCCACGCCCGATTTCCTCTGTCATCCACGTCATACTTAGATCCTCCTCAATCTGTGTACATACGCCG